TTTAACTATTTCTTTAGGAATTTATTTTTTATTTATTCAACGTATTGGATATTTTGATTCATCTTTTAGAATTAATGATGGTATTTTTGGATCGGTTTTTTATATATTAACTGGGTTTCATGGATTACATGTGTTTGTAGGTACTAGATTGTTATTTTCTTCTTATTTGCGTATTTAATTAAATCCTTTACTTCCTATTTCGTGCTTCGAACGTGTATTCTCTGAATTAAAGACGGTTATTGTAACGAAAATTTACGGTAGTTTAGTAGAATCTTGCGCTAAATTTGACGCGATAGAGTTAACATTCTAAACAATCCTCGTTATTCCTCGCAAACAAATTTCCCTTTGGAATTCCACCAAAAACATCGAAATCTCTCCGGAAACCTGCATAAAATTCCAGCATAAAAATCGAAGAATCGTTCGAAATGTCCCTGAAATTGCTCGATCCAGGAGGGAAGAAAGCCACGGGGATGTTCGTCGTCGCGGTGAAAGATAATTCAGAGACTACGCTCGTCTTCGGCGGCAATAACCTGGTCCCCAATTAGCCAGTGGGAAACTACATATTCCGTCTCCCATTTACGACGACATAATGCTACCTGTTTCACGCGGAGCCACGTATAATTACAGGCTAATGCCGGAGCGTCCGCAATCGTGGCAGGTGGCACATAATCGCGGCCTCGTAACCCTCCAACGAGTTAATCCGTGAAGCGTCTCGTCGTTCCTCGCGACGACGACGCCCTGTAACCAGTGTCGTCGTCGTCGCCGTTGTCATAGACGTAGCCTGTCGTCGCCGATGAAATCGTGAGGCAAGAGGCGACACATTTAAAAGTAGCTGTACAGCGAAGCTGATCCGCTTACCGGGTTTAAAAGTCAAGTGCTAAAAGCGCAATTCATCCCATCTAGCCTGGGTACGGGGTAAATCGGCCGTGGAGAGTTTCTAGGAGGAGGATAGAAAGAAAGACAGCACACGACTGTCTCTGCTCGTCGTCGTTCCGACCACTTCGTTCAACGACTCATTTTATTCCCGGACACGGGAAAGTATCGTTGGTCCCGTATGAAAGTCCTCTCCCTTCGACGCTCGTTTCTTCCTTCTTTCTATGCTTCGCGTTCAAGTCCGTTTCGTTTCGTTCATCTGTCTCGCGTGCTCTTCTTCCGACAGTTTCCGTGTTTCCATTTTCTGCCTCTTCCAAGATTGGAGGGTCGACGAAGCGGAAACAAGGGGTGACTGCGTTCCCTTCGTTTCCCGAGAGAGATTTCTTTCTCTTGCGTTTCTTTCTTCCTTTCTTCCTACCTTTCGTCCTTTTGCTTTTCACTCTTCTTTCTGTTTGCGCGCCGGTCGAGCGGCAACGTTTACGGCGGCCCGAAGGTACGTGCACGTATTATTGCGACGGCGAGGATCGCCGTGATAAGCTATGAAATTTTGAAGGCTGGAATTGGCCCTTTAGAGCGATTCTTTGGGGGATATGGTGCTTGGGAAGTTTCGTGTGTGATATCTCGGGTTCGTAAATTTTGTAAACTTGCTATGGGTGTTAGTGTTCTGGTGTTGTTATTAGGATTGAATTTATTCGTTTCTGTGTTGAAACACTATTTTCTGCTTTTATGTGGTGAAAAATCGTTGGAAATATCAAAATTGGAGAATGTAAATGGTAAACTTAGGAAAATAAATTATTGAAATAATTGAATTAAAGAATAATTCAAATGATTGAAAAATGAAAATAATTTGAAAATTATATATGCTGTCTTTCCATTAGGAGAATATTGAAAAAATGTTACACGTTTTGTACAAGTCGATATATGTGTACATTTAAACAATAATAGAAATACTGAAACACACTGTAACAAGTGTTTCAGTGTCTTTATTTAACTTTCTTGCAAAATTCAAATACTTTAACTCTCAACTCAACTCTGACTTACGTTCCTGAAAAAGTCCGAAAACAAAAATTTTTAAAATAGGCCTAATAAAAAATATAGTATATCTTGGGGGCTGTTTTGAACCATATTATCCGATACGATAAAAATTTCGAAGGGTCCACTAACAACAGAATAATCTAAGGTAACCACGTTAGATGGTTCTCCCGGTATAACCTAATTTTCCTGACCAAATCTTATGTCACAACGAAAATTCTATAACTATTAAATTTTTT